AGCAAGAAGAGTGTCACCTCCCTGCTCCCCTCCCTGCTCCCCTGCCTGCACCCTTCCTCCGCGGCTTCCCCCTCGGCGAGAGCTGCTCCGCCGCCCTCCCCCCCGGGCCCAGAGCCGGTGGCCGGCGGTGGGCCGAGGAGCAGCTTGTCGTCTGCGATCGCCGCCTATCCCATGAGGAGGAGCGGCTCCTTCCACGGCTCACTGCTGATGGCCGAGGAGGAGTCGGCCGTCTGCGATGGCCGCCTGCCACCAGCCGCCGTCCTGCAGCACCTGGACGGTGCCGCCGCCCGCCGCGGCCGCCAGGAAGTTGGTGGGCGCGCGCGGCGGCCGCGGCCTCGTGAAGCCCGCCGCGACCCACTCGGTGGCGCGGCTGCGGCCTTGCGGCGGCCAGCGCCACTCGCTCCCCTCCTCGTCGGGTCCGTACTCCTCGACGAAGTCCTCGTCGCCGTCGACGCAGACGCGGAAGCGGCCCTCGCCCAGCAGCTCGCGCACCTCCGCCGCCCGCCACCGCGTCGCCCCCCCCTCCTCCACCTCTACGTCCACGACCTCCCCGACCGCCGCAGCCCTCCCCTCGCCGCCCGACCTCGCCCTCTCGCCGCCGCCTCGCGGCCTCGCGCCGTCGGGCCACCGCCAGGTCTTGCCCTCGTCCCGCAGCCGCAGCTCCTCCTCCTTCGCCTCCTCGGCCGCCACCGCCACGAACCGAGCCCCGCCGAGCAGCCTCCGCACCTCGGCCACCCTCCAGCCCTCGCCGGCGCACCAGCCCGCCAGCTCGACGCGCGAGGCGAGGAGCGGCATCTGCCGCGCGCTGTACTGCGGCGGGGGCGCGCCCGCCGGCAGCAGCAGCTGCGTGTCTGCCGGGAGCCGCGTCGCCGGCCCGAGCGGCCCGAGCTCGGCGTCGAGCACGCCGTTGGCCGCGACCAGGCTGTCACACTCGAGGCCGAGCGCGGCGGCGGCGGCGCGCGGCGTCTCGTTCTCCGCGACGGCGTGGACGAGCGGCAGCGCGAGGATGGTGCGCCGCCGCAGGCGCGACGTGCTCACCAGTCCCTCGAGCCGCGAGGCGTTGAGCGCCAGGACGGCGGCCACCGGGACGCCAAAGCGGCGAGAGACCTCCTTCGGCGTGTCGTCCTCTTCGCAAAAGTAGTGCGCGGCCTCGAGCAGCGCACGCGGCGGCTCCGGCTCGGGGAGCTCGAACTCGACGTGCACCTGCCGCGAGCGCACGCCGATGGCGCGCGCGGGCACCCAGCAGCCCTCGGCGTAGATGGCCTCGAGCAGGTCGCCGACCACCGGCATGGCGGCCACCGCCGCGCGAGGCGCGGGCTTGCTCTGCTGCTGCTGCTTGGGGGGCGTGCCGCCGGCCTCCGGACGTGCGCGCTTCTCCTGGGGCATGCCCGCCAAGGCCCCTACCGGGTAGCGCCAAGACGGCTGGCCGCGCCAAGAGCAAAAAGAAATTAGATATGCTCCGGCCCGCTGGGTGCGCTTCTTAGCTCCCCGGCCCTGGATGTGCGGTTAATGACTGCACTCCAAGTGCTCCAAGTACTTAAACATAAATCTCTTCGAGATGAGACCGCCAGTGGATGTGGGAGCCCACCGTGCACCGCGCTGCGAGCCTGTCGTGTCCCTTGTCAGGAGCAGGAGAGCCCCACCTGTGCCCCTGATCGTCCTTCCAAAATCCTGCTCGTGCAGGTGTGGACCCTGTCCTCCTCCCCTATCCCTCGTTTGTTGTCTATTTTCTTTCTTTCTTTCTTTTAGCACCGCGAGGTGGCATGAAGGTTGCAGCGAGAATCGGCGAGGGACTGCGAAGTTTTATTTCTTTCTTCGGCGTACCTGCGGCGCTTATGGGGGTCGTCCCCCCCCGTGCGAGCCGCCACGGTGTCGTGGCGCGCCGCGGGGTCGGGCCCTGGATCAAGGTTCAGAGCGCGAACACTGGGGGGTCCCTCTCGCATGGGGGGCTGAAGATACGTGCCACTCCTTCCGGGAGACCGGCCCTTGGATCCTCCTCACCGTTACTAGTGCTGGCTGCCCATTTGTGCAGCTAGGTGTCCCACTAACCACCGCGGATGTCCTGCCGTGCAAAGCTCGCGGATTAGGTAAGTAGTTAGCGTCGGCTGATGGGTGCTTGTCGCGCGTGCGCGTATGTGCCCCGGGGGGGGGCGCGGGTGGTGTGTCGCCCCCCTCCTCTTGCGTTAATGAAATTGGACAACCTCTCGGCTGACTTTGCGGTTCTCGGTCCTCGAGAGGGTCAACCAGCTTCGAGACGACGACAAGAACCACGATGTCCAGCAGCTGCAGTACTCGATGATGCGCTGCCGCAGCGCGACGCCATACTTTTGGATGCGCACGATGTACCCGTGTGTGGTCCGGCCAGTGCTTGAGGAAGTGGTGGAGCCGGCGCTCAAGAAGTCGTTCGTGCAGCTGGCTGAGGCAGGCCACAGCCCGCAGGAGCTCATCGACCAGGCCTGGGCGGAGGCCCAGCAGGACGGGCGCTTCGGTGGCTGCGGCCTCGGCGGGCACGCACAAACGACGGATGCGAGCTTTGCGGCCGCTGTCCTCTCGGTCTACCCGTCACTACGTGACACCGTCGCACTGCGGGGCATGCCCCTTCTCCCCGGTGGCAGGCAGGGGAAGAAATAGTGCCGATGCTGCAGCACTTTGCGCAGCACTACAATGACATCAGCCAACGGCGTGGCGATGTCGCGCGCATCTACGCGTGCGGGCACAAGACAAGGAGTTTGGCCTTTGCCACACGTACGAGCTTGGCCGCTTCTGTCCGTCCATGCTGCCGTCGGCGCAGCGCATCCCGCCTATTGGCGACCTCTTCACGCAGCAGAGCACCTCTCCAGTCCCGAAACAGGGCACGCTCGCTGCTGTCGGGGCCCACGAAGCGTGGATCGCGTGCCTGGCGGCGTATTAGGAGGTCGACAAAAACACGCCGCAGTCGGAGGCGATCAAGTTCAGGGACGCAACTCGCTTCATCTCGATCTCCCAGTTCGGCGCCGCTGGATGGCTCGACATGCGCCCTGATGGACTCCACCACACGAAGATGGTGTCGGCGATGTTCCTGACGGCGATACAGCGCAGGCACGGGCTCTACTTGTCGGTGATCGCGCCCACTCTCGTCGAGAAGGCTGTCGCGGGCGAGCACGTCACGGTGGGAGAGTACAAGGGCGACTCCCTCGCCAACTCCAACAAGGGCGACCGCACCTCCAAGCACAACGGGGTGCTAAGGGCCGCCCAGAATGCCATCAGGGCGCGCTCGGTTGGCAGCATCATCCTCGGGGACAAGGAAAAGCCCGAGGTGACGCGGCACACCTCAAGGACACGTCCGTGACTGACATCTGCGAGCTCGGCGGTGACTTCGCCAGGATGCGGGACGTGCATTACGAGGTCAAGTGCTGGAACTCGCTCATCAAGTCGACGACGGTGGGGAGGGGCTCGTGGGACAATGGTGGCAATGTGGCGTCGGTGGGCCACCTCTACGGGTTTGGAAACACGCTGGACAAGGCGTTGACGGGGGAGTCGTGGGGTGCAAGGAGCGTGGCCGTCAGGTGGACGGACCGCTCGACCACTCGACTGGAAAGGGATGGGTCAAAGACCACGCGTATGGAAAGGGGTGGGTCAAGACGGATACGGGCTGGAAGTGGATGGGGGCGCAGTACTACGACGCGAAGTGGGTCAAGGAAGCCATAACGCGGCTGGTGCTCGTGGAAACTTTGGGAGGCATTGCGCCGCCCACCAAGCAGTTCTCCACGTGTTCGCCAAGGAAGCGGTGGGCACCAACACGGACAATCTCTCTCTCTCTCCCAACACGGACCGGACGGTGTACGGGGCGGCGTCGGCGAGCGCCTCCTCCTTCGTCGTCCACCACACGCAGCAGATCTCCAAGGCGGCGGTGGCGGGCGACGCCGAAAACATCAACAAGCTCAGCTCCCCACCACGCAAGGTGCAGCGGACCGACCTGGTGGGCAAGCGGATGATGAAGACCTTTGGCGGCCATGGCACCTTCGTCGGAGATATCGTCTCTTACGACCCGGAGACGGGATGTTACCAGCAGGTCACCTATGAGGACGGCGACAAGGAGGGCCTCTCGCGAGCCTCTGTCCAGGCTAGCGTGCGGCGATTCCAGGCCCAGGCAAAGTGATGCGATCCGTCTCGCCGAGGCGCGCTTTTTTGCGTCCGCGGCCGCTCTCCCTCGCCTCGGCGGTGTGCGGGTGGTGCCGCGGCGTGTGGCGCGGGCCGGGGGCGCGCGGTAGGCGTACGGGGCCGCGTGCGCGTGGCCCGCCCGTGCGTGGTGCCCCTGGCTGGGTCGGGCAGCGAGCTACCCCCCCGGGACGGCGCATCGCGAGTGAGGCCCCGGGGTGGGGCAGGTGAGGGAGGGGGCGGGGACGGCCGGGCCCCGGTGAGCCCCGGGTGAGGCCCGACCCCCCGTCCCGGGGCTGCTGTGAAGAATTTAAACAACACAACGGATCCCACAACTCTCTCTCTCACTGTGTGAAGAAGCGTCTTGGGTCCGGAGTTGTGCGTTTATGTGAAGACTAGAGTTAGGCCCTTGAAGGGGCCCGCCCCCAATGGGGGCGGGGTTGAATGGGCTAGCGCTGGCGTGGCGTTGACATGAGCACGAAGTTGCTAATGTGGGGTAGACGAACAAAAAGTAGGGTTGAATTCGTCCAC